AAAGATTATTTAATTCAAAAAATCAATTTGAGAAAACAAATACAAATAAACAGTTGTTAAAAGAATTTTTTTTACCAAATGACTAGTTTGTCTTTTAGATCGATAACCCATTGCCTTTGCCATATCAAATTGATCTAATTGATAATTAGTTATAATGTCAGAGATACATCTTGGCATTGGATAAGTATCAGCTGGTAATGGATCAGTACACTTGGGTATTGGTTGTTTTGGGTCAGTGTCAACAATATCAGAAGGAGTTTTTATCATTGAATCTCCATCTGGACTAATAATATTGTTGATTAAAAAAAAAAAAAAAATCAAATCATTAATTATTTATTTAATAAATGATTTAATAACAGTACTAAAATGGTATAATTACCCAAAAAAAGGTTCGGGTGGATATTTCATTTGAAAATTTTGTTTTGGAGCACCAGAAGTTGGATTGTTTAAATTATTATCACTACCATCTGTAAGTCGAGATTCTATTTTACATGGTAACAATAAAAATATGAATAGTATCAGAAGAAAAAGATGAAATTGAAGTGACGAATTTCCTCTTTCTCTTTGATGGTTATAAAACATTTTTATTTTTTTTAAAAATTTTTTTTTTCAAAAAATTCAAATTGATTTATAAGATGTGCCTGCATAACTTTGTTTTTGTTAATTCATTCGATGTATTATTCTAATTTTTTCTATCGTAACGCGCCATGTTACAAGTAAGAAATTCAAATGGTTCGACGATCAAACCGCGAATTTCAAAATACGATTAAAAAAATTTTTTACCAGGTTTCAACAAATAAAATAAATGACGCATATTAATATTAACCGTTAATACGGCAAATCTTTCCACGAGTTACGACATGGCTGTGTATAATTCGACACTATGAGATCAAATTTATCAAATTTAGTCAAGATTTTTACGGCTGTGAACATAACAGATAGAAGTCAACGCCAATCAATATTTTGAAAAAACCTCACCGTCACAATAAAATTTGAGTCCCAATCTATGCCATTTTTAAAAAGATATGACAGGAATTTATTTCTATTATCTCAAAGATCACATGTAAAAGTTGGCGATTTAAGAGGTCCCGTATCATATTAATCAAATTGTACGGACGATATTGTGCCTCTTGACTTGTGCATTTTACCAAAGAGCATTATTGAAGGGAGTAAATCTGGAAAGAAAATCATGCTATGGCTAATGCATAATGTGTAAAAATAAAAACGACCTGTTAGGTCGTGATTCTATTTAAAGAAGATCCATATTGAGTCCATTTATGATATAGAAAGAATTGGCTAATAGAAAACCTTGCTAAAAAAGGTATGAATTTAAATTTCTTCAATGAAGTTCATTTTTTATAGAATCAAAAAATTTTCTCTGATCAAAGGTTTTTAAATTGATGTAATAAAATAACTGAATAAACCTGTGCAATTTGGGCCTCATCGTAAATGTGATTGAATTTTCAGTCGATGGAATGAATTTTCATCTGGTTCGATAATATAAGTAACAAGCAAATATTTGCAAAGGCCCAATGATTTCCAGATCAGTAATAAAAGGTTTTACTATGCTTGATTATAAAATTACGTTAAAAAATTACATTTTAATATAAATTAATAAAATAGTTCAAGAAAAAAAAATCAAGTGCTATAAGAGATATAATAAGTCTCGAGCTTTTGTTTAATGCTACTTTCATGACTGTAATAGCGGTTGGATTGGGATAGATTTTTTTTTTTTATGACACGTAACTTTTGATTTGCATAGGACCATAATGTGAAAAAAGCAACTCTTTATGCAGAACATTTTAGAACAGAAAACATACCAATTTCGCATAGTAATAGTAATATTGATATTAAAAGCGACGAACAATCAAACTCTTGGCTAAAATAAAAAACTTGATGATAATAAAATCTACTGATTTATAGGAAATCAAAAAATGATTCTAGCTCAGGATTATGTGTCATGTGCTTGAATTTAATAACAAGTAGTTTTTGTTTCCATATTTTGTCGAGGTTTTACTTTAAGTCAAATTGTCAAAATAGTCCTTGATGAGAGACTACCTTTAGTCAATGCTTTAGTCATGTAATGAATAAAGTAAAAGCTTCATCATTTCACATCATATGAGTAATAATTAGTCAGGTAGCTTGTTCTCGGCTCTGGTTGAAAAGCATACAGTGCATGAAATTAAATTAGCCAATCAAAAGTAAATTTGCCCTATAGGTCTTAATTCGGCATATATCAAGCAGGGTATGAAAAAATGTTGTACGCAAGCCGTGACAAATATAAAGTCATTTACTGAATGAAAACTTTTTACTCGTGACGATCATAATAGAATTAATGCGTTACACGTAAAAAAAACCATTATTAATCACTAAAAATAGAGAAGATCCAAAATAATGTAGATCGTTTTAATTTATTATTTACTAAATTAGTATTTATTAAATTCGTCTCCTTGTATATATTAATATAATTTTTTGGGACGGTTATCCTATTTATATTTTTCGAATTTAAGCTTCAACAAAACGGAGAAGAGATGCCACATAATTAATATGTAAACTTGAATAAGTCGGTCACACAGGGGGGCTAATTTATATAATTTTTTTTAAATAATAAAAATGTTTAAACAACGTATATTAATTACAAAAAAAAACATTCTAAGGTAGGTAGGTTGCTTTAAAAAAGCGTTTTGTTTTCTTCTAATTTGATGTTGTTGATATTACCGAGTTATTTATTTTCATATCAGAATTTTGTTGTAAATAATTAAATAGATTTTTTGAATACTATCCAAAGCAACTTTATGCAATTATAGTTTCTTCTTTTTGTACCACAGCATTATATACTCATTATCCATCAATTATTCAGGATTTTCTATTTTAGAATCAATATCTATCTTTATTCGAGAGAAAAGATAGAAATTGATTGTATTTTAATTATTGCCTTTATTTTGAGACAAAGGTTAGATCATTTTTTAGATTAGATCCAATAATTTTTACAGATTTAACAAATTAATGAGACAAAAGATAAAAGAAACTGTCCTTAGATTCTTTTGATATGTAGAGATTTGGCAATTATCTATATAATCTATGATTAAAAAAATAACTTATTATCATCCCGTGTAACAAAATTCGAAAACTTTAGTCCATATGCGTAATTGCGGTCACCAAACATAGATCACAATTACTATATACGGATTTTTTCAAAATAAATTTTTAATAATAATAACAAGAATTTAGGAAAAATAGCAAGTAAAAGTTACACGCCAATTTTTCGTTTTTTATGATATATTAATAAAACAAATACAGTCAAAGCCTCGTTTCAACGAATCTTGTTTCAATCGAATTTTATATTAATATATATATTGTGTTACAACGATAACGAATTTTTTGTATAATAATAAGCGTTACAACGAATTCACAATGTGTATTAATATGATTTTCCCAGATTTTCCGAATTAAAAAAAATACACTACTAATAGTTTTACACAATAATAAAAAATCCGCATTATTAAAAAAAACCCACTTTACTAAATAATAATAATAATAATTATTATTATTATCTAAAATTTTTAATCACATTAATAAATACTAATTAATCAAACAAAATAAAATTCACTTTACTAAATAATAATGAGAAGACTGGTATTCTTCCATTGTCAGACAATGTAGCAGTAGAGATTGAGGATGTAAAATTTAACAAATAAATTTTTCTTTCATTTCACCATTGACCGCAAAGGAATATATATTGATTGATGATAAGTTAACTAATAGTGAAATGGTAACTGAGAAAGAGATTATTAATTATATAAAGGATCAGTCGATGCTTTTGAAACTGCTTATAATTTTCTTGAACAGAACAATTTAGAGATAGATTATAAAAAGCTTTTAAATCATTAAAAAGAAAAGTGACATTATATAATGTTAAAAATCAAAGACAAACATGTATTACTGGTTATTTCAAATAAATAATTTTTTTTTTTATTATATGCGTCGACCATTACAAATTTTGTTACAACGAACTTTTGTTTCAACGAATTTTAATATAGCTTCGTTGAAATGAGGCTTGACTGTAAATAAAAAAATATTTATAACATATATACATACTACCAAACTAAAGGTATTTATTATATATGTATATGAAAAAAAATATTATTAGTTTCTTCTAGATCAATTTTTTAAAAATATTTGTAAATGGTTTAATTAACTCTCAAACTTAAAGACTATATATATAAATAAAATTTTATTTAAAAACTTGTTAATTCTAAATATTTCTTTATTTAATATATATCACAGTATTAATTAGAATTGGAGATTTTCTGTTTCTTACGATTCTTTTTTAATAACAGTTTCTTTAAAAGGAAAAGATTTTCAAAGAAAATTTCTTTAATAATAAAAATCGCACAATTTTAAATCCTTATAAATCATTTTTTTACAAAATTCTTTCAGCTTATTCACTAAGTCACAAAGAACAAAACCATAGAAAGATTTTTCCTCTATTTTTTTTAGTTATCGAGCCTATATGCTTCAAAGTTCAACTGTATTTTCTACATTTTTAGATGATTTTACTAATAAAATTTAAAAAAACTCTCTGTCAGCACGTTTACCATTACAATTTCACTCAATTTCATAGTTGTATCTTTTTTTTTAAGGAGGAGATACAATTTGTTTTTTTATCACACGTTAACTCATTTGCAACATATATGAATTGATCGACAAAAAAGTTCCAATTTTTCCATATTTTGATTTTCATATTTGGAAATCTCCCTAGACTGAATTACATTACCAGATCGTTGATTATTACCAATATACATTTCAATTGAAGATTTTAAAGTACTATTACCCCATTTAGAGGGTGAATGGACGAACCCTTTGCAGTAATATTTTTTAAACCGTTTTCCGTGTCAGATCAGACCAGATCATATTTCCTTGACTTCAGTATATAATAGTGAAAAATGCCAAAAACTAGACAATGCGTACTTTGTAAAGAAACTAAAACTGAAAATTTTAGAACAATAAATGAAGGAAGGAGGCAACAAGGTAGTCGTTCTATAATTATTGTTAAATTAATAGTGTTGTATTATATATTTATTTATATATCTGTTTCTTAATTATTAGATAAATAAATGAATGTGGATAATAGAAACAAGGTAAGCTGTTCTATATATAATTATAAATAAATAGGACACACAAAAGAAACAAGGTTGTTCTATAATGATTGCTAAATTAATAATTTTGTATGATATCTTTATTTACATATTTATTTATTTATTTATTTATTTATTAGATAAATAGGAAAGAAACAAAAATTGTTAAATTAATAATTTTGTACAATATATATCTATTTCGTGGATAATAATAATTTTGTATGTATATATATATCTATTTATGTATTTCGCGGATAATAATAATTTTGTATATATATCTATTTATCTATTTCGTGGATAATGCCAGGAATTTTGGCTGATCGACATTGAAATTTTACTAATAAAAACTCGAATTGAATGTCTTCAGTCACTTATTTTATACCCTTGCTTTGTATCAATTGTTACCAAAATTTCCACGTTGTTTATTTTTCATGTTCTTTATTT